GTGTATAGTGCTTTGTTAAGACAGAATTATAAGGAGTGTATAGTGCTTTATTAAGACAGAACTATAAGGAGTGTATAGTGCTTTGTTAAGACAGAATTATAAGGAATGTATAGTGCTTTATTAAGACAGAACTATAAGGAGTGTATAATGCTTTATTAAGACAGAATTATAAGGAATGTATAGTGCTTTATTAAGACAGAACTATAAGGAGTGTATAGTGCTTATAAATTCATTCAATTGTTTCATCCATATGTACCACAGCTGATCTGGAGAGGTTTCCTTCAGTTCTGATAGGATGTCTGTCCCAGCTACCCAGGAAGCACTGTGAGAAAAACTCATAATGCACACAAAAGAGGTGCATCTTGTCCGGGTCGTCAATAAGTTGCTCTTCTTCCATTGTGCATCATAGTAGTTGCAGGTGACAGCTGACCACACTTCACACCACAGCCACTCCTAAGAATTATTAGGAAAAATTTTATAAAAATAAACACATACTGCACCAGCAGGCCTACAACAGTTCATGTCTTCATGTGAGGTTCTGCTTAATAAACACATACTGCACCAGCAGGCCTACAACAGTTCATGTCTTCATGTGAGGTTCTGATTAATAAACACATACTGCACCAGCACGCCTACAACAGTTCATGTCTTCATGTGAGGTTCTGCTTTAACTGACAGTGGTGGCTTTTACATTTGATTGTGGACACTTTCAACAGCAATGAAGCTACGATGTCCTGTTCCTCATACAGAGAACATACATGGGGCAATGTCCACATTATCCACCCCCTGGTCCTCACATACTGATGCAGTCATTATGCATCGTGCTGGGATGGGGACAATGGGATAAGCCAATAGTGAAACCCACTAAATGTCATAGCCAATACCAGGTAGGCATAAAATAACGGACTGTTATCAGTACTTTCATGTACTTCTTACCTTCAGGGCCATTTGTGTTTGTGAACACCATCCAAGAAGGAGACTGCAGTGGAGGCTTTGTTGTTGGCAACAGCATCAAGATAAAAGATCCACGTAGAAAGGATTGGGGAGACAGAATTATACATCATGAAGTCTCATCACTGTGACACATGTGTTTGTTGTGTTTCTTTAGACAGGACTCAACATAACCGTCAATCCCACCAAATATCACAATATTACATCTAAAGAGAAAATATTTTCCAGGCATACGATTGTAGATGAAGACTAAAATAGAAGGAAATATGTTGAAGAAGGGCATAATGGCTCTCTGAATGGTTTAACGAGGATGAAAATGATGTAAATGATATGCGATTGGTTTGACTCAACGAATATTAACCTAGATGAACACCTATGCCATTGTTGCTAAGGAAAACTCTTGTTGAGCTACGTCCAGGAAGTAATCATAATCTATAGATTAATTTCTGAGAATCAAGCTGAACCTTGCTTGTCATATTTCTTCTCATACTTGCTCCTGCATGCACAGACATTATCCAGTCATCATAAAGTAACCTTAGCGTTTACGCTAGCGAACACATTTACACTCGTTATTGGATAACTTAGAAGTAAAGCCTATAACTCAACAGGTCTCACTGTCTTTGTGTGTAATATTTCACGCATTGTTGTAAGCAAATTAATGTTCCAGATGTTTACGTAACTACAATATACGTTGACCCATAAGTAGTGCATTGCTGGCTGATGGTGTCGGAAATCAGCATATTGTCTCTGGATGATACAGAACATCTACCAGGTGCTGCTACTTGAGGAGAGAAAGGCTCAGAAAGAATAATGCATTTTAAATTTAATCAGCACATGAAAAATGAATTATAGGTGACATGATGTAACTTTCTAATGAAAAACACCTTGTGTTTCTTTCACAGTAAATGTTTCTGTCTATGTCAATTCAGCAAATAGAATCAAATTATGTAAAATGTATCCTTTATATTTATATATACAGAACCGTGGTCCAACATTTGATTAGGTGATTTGATTCTTTCTGACCTGTTCTCCTAACTACTATGATTGTCCAGTTGCATGAGTGTTTTTGTGAGCCTTTCAAAATCATGTGCTTCTCTTTTGATGAAGAGCCTTTTGCAGACAAACAGTAAAGCAAACACACATAGTTGCACACAATATATTTTCCTACTGACAATTTTTGCCTCAGCAGAGTCTCAGCAGTGTGTTTTTCTGAGAAGTGTTTAGACCTGTGTGCGTTTGTAAATACCTTTTGAATTGGAAACTAACACATTTTCCTAGGGGATATATTGCTTTGCAAAATGAGCTTTTGATCGGTTTCCTGTAACTGCTGGTTATACTGCTTCTGTGGTACACAGACACACAAACTCTGTAAGATGGACACAAAATCATGGTCAAACACGCAGAAAATGGACTGTACACAATGTGATCTGCTGAAGAAGGCCGGTTTTGTGCCAATCCCAAAGGAATTCTGGCACTATCAACAACATAGTTGTTCCCTGCCAAATTACGCATGCACATACAATAAGAAAATACTACTCCATAATAATTATTGTAAACGGCCCCCGGAGAGTTTTTGTCACCATAACATGTTCAATGTTGGCTTTATGTCACCTAGGGCCATTTTGTTATCATATGCTCCTAACACTTTTTGGTGTGCTAACTGGATTTTCAAATTGGAGCACCAGTACACCAGTATGCCAAAAAATACATATTCTTTCTAATATATGTTCCTAATAAATTCCTAATTTCCTGGATTTCTGGAGGAGGTGGTGGGAGACTATCTTCCAGAGGCTCAGGAAAAAGGCGAAGGGGGAAAGGACCACTCCAGCCATGACCTCCACCACCTCCAGGCACCTCCGGAGGCTGGTCACTTCTGGGCTCTGAAGGTTGGTGGCTGGAAGGGGTCGTTGCACAGCTGAAGCTGTGGTCGCTGCCCCAGTTCCTCCCATGGCCCTGGTGGCAGCCTCGGACCAGAGGGCGGTGTTGCTCCAGGACCGTGGGTGGCGCAGAACCCACAGGAGGCTCCACCCAGCTGCCATTATTTGGAGAGAAGTGAGCCCATTTCATGACAACAGCTTTGGATCATCTGCAGTTCCTTTTCTCACCAGACTTTTGTCCTCATCGCTTTGATAACCTTTTAATAAAGCACATTGAAGCGCTTCGATGTATGAATTGTTGTCATATAAATAAACTTGCTTGCATGCTTGATAAAGGTTCAAGGACTGTACTGGTTGATATGTGTATTGTATAACCATTTATCAATATGGCCTTTCAGTTTTTGTGCTGATCAGTGGTTTGCATTGTAGTGCAGGTTAGCTTTTAAAGATTCTGCTGCCTAAGACTTCTGCAAGTCTGTTGGTTGTTTCACACTTATTTGATGTATTTTTCCACAGCTCTGGTAATTTTTCTTTTATCCACTGCTGATGTTTTTCTTGGTCGACCTGGTCATTGCGAATTGCTGAATATATGTGTTACAATGGTTGTAATTGAGTTACTATTTTCTATAAGCATCCAAAAGAGATAGCTATCTGATTATCATTTTGGATTATGCCTGCTGACATCAAACACAGACAAGGCAAAAGCAAAGAAGGGAACTGAGGCTATACATTCACAGCCCATATGTGTGAACAATATGTTTCATGCAGCACTCTGTAGTGTAGGTTGTGTGTTTTGTCACCAAACACAAATTATTTTGTCAAGTATTTAGAAACATTTTACGATTTTTAACAGGAAGAATTGGATTACAATCATACTTCAAATCAGTTATTTCTTTGTCATTTCTAGTTCAAATAATTTACTTTATTCTGGCATGCTCTAATGCAGCCCTAGAGTATTTGTTGTTGTATAACTGCAAAAATCGATTGTTTTGAAGAGAGACACAGATAACTGAGGAGAGACACAAGGAACTCGTTTGTTGGTGTCGGTAGGCATAATCCAACATCTAGTAGGCTAGGAGGGTATAGGGACACTTATATACTTTAAGCACTTATATAACTTTGAGCACTTATATGAATTTTGCACCTGAATCAGATGTGGGTGATTTGAATGGGCACAGTTGGTTAAGATTATGTGATTATGTTTGTGATAAAAGTCACTGGGTCTTGGTGCACGGTGTTGGATTAGGTTTCTACGTCACATGAATGTATAGAGTGAGTATTGGGTTATAGTGCTGTTTGAATGGTATTAGTACGTTTCTGTATATGCACCATTTAAATAGTACAATGTTTAGTGTTTTCGCCGTTTATTGTTTGTATTGATTTAAATAAACCTGATTTTAAACAAATATACACATGCGCCTGACTTTTCCTCTGTACTACATTTTGGTTCGTGACAACGACCGTGCAACTACACACATTTACACACGCTCACACTCACTCTCACAAACACACACTCACACACACTGCTAGAGTACACTTCGACAGCCTACAAAGTATTCCATTCGTACTTTAAATTTTTCTTGCCTGTTTTTGGACAAGATATATGCATATCATTGTGAATCTTCCAACAACCAGACGGAGACAGAGACTTCTTGACTAACTAGGCAGCTGAAACCCCAGGACGTTTCACCTCGCTCCCTGACACGCCCCCTCCTCCCTGTGTCTAATGAGTCAGTTCCTGTCTCCCTTGCCAACATGTGCACCCATAACACCCATCTAGATGCCTTCAAAAACTTCAAGGTCACTACATTATTATCATTGAAACTGGTTAGAATATTTGCTTCTCTGTCTTTTAATTGCTTACTCTATTCTCTTAAACAGTTGGAGAATAACAATTAGAGAGGAATTGCAGAATCTCAGCTGTTAGGCACTGGGATAACTTTATACCTATGACTTTTTGGGTTTATTTCAGGGGACCACATAGTGATTACAATGCCATGCACTGCTAGTAAAAGTACACCTATTATTAAACGCACAATGGATGCATTCACACCAGCAGAGCAACATCAACACCTCACAATATTCTCAGTGTGTGTCATGCACACGTGGAAACCAGAGCTCGAGCATGTGTGCAAGCATAAGAGTAACAGAACTCCGTCAAATCAATTTCCAAGGGGGCACCAGGACTTGAACCTGAGACCTCTGACCTGCAGTCAAATGCTCTACCACTGAGCTATACCCCCAATAACAGAACTCAGTCATCAACACATGTCACGGTCATACAAGCTGTCAGGGTCACACAAGCTGTCAGGGTCACACAAGCTGTCAGGGTCACACAAGCTGTCACGATCACACAAGCTGCCAGGGTCACACAAGCTGTCAGGGTCATACAAGCTGTCAGGATTATTGAGTTAAATCATAGAAAAGAGTCTGCTAACGTCTCAGCAGATGCCTTGAAAGGTTTTCTCAAGAAAAGCCATTCTGTCCTGTGTGCTCATTTCTGCTAATTAGTTTAAAGGGGCTCCTTACATTAAATAATGTTTCTACTCCTCCTTGTGTGCCACTCTCCTTTATCCATTCCCCTCTATCTGTCCATGTCCACTTCAATCCCCTGGACTAATGTACACTACCTTTGTGCAGTTTGGGGTCACATAGAAATGTTTGTGTTTTCAAAAGTAAAGCACATTTTCTGTCCATTAAAACACCAAATTCATCAGAAGTACAGTGTTGACATACATGCTGTAAAGGACTATTGTTGCTGTAAAACAGCTGTGATTAGATTTGTATTGAAGTATCTACATACTGTAGATGTACAGAGGCCCATTAACAGCAACCATCCATTTTGTGTTCCAATGGCATGTCATGGTTGCTTATCCAAGTTTCATTTTAAAGGCTAACTCCGGGATGCTGCCCTTCTAGGCAAAGTTGCAAAGTAAAATAACCCAGACACCGAAAACAGGGCAATTGGAAAGTATCGTAAACAGACACCTATAAATTTGAGGCGTTCAGATAACCAAGAAAAACTTTAGTGAGATCTGGTTGAAATTAAAAGCTGGAAGAGTGTGTGACGCCAAATGCATAGCATGGTGGAGGTAATGTGAGGGCCTTGATTGTATTGGGGTGTTTTGGGTGGTGGTACAGTGGACAATTTGTACAGATAATAAGGATTTTGAAAAACAATACTCCAATTGCAATGCTATACAACACAGTGTGGACGACGCTCGATTGGAGACAATTTCTTCTTACAACAGGACAGTAATGGAAAGCATTGGCTCCAAATTATACACAAACAATCTAGGAAAGGAGCCGTCAGCTGATATTCTGTCTATAATGAATCACTGGATCCCAACCATATTGTGCTGTTCTGGGAGCAGCTTGACCGTATGTTATGTAACAAGTGCCCATCAAGCCAATTCAACTTATGAGAGGTGCTTCAGGAAGCATTGGGTGAAACCTTTTCATATTATCTCATCAAATTGAAAACAAGAATGCAAAACGTCTGCAAATCTGCAATTGCTGCCAATTGAGGATTCTTTGACAAAAGCAAAGTTTGAAAGACACAATTATTATTTCATTTAAAATATATTTTTATATTACTATATTTCGTATTAATTTTGCAATGTTTTCTATTCAAACTTATTTCATGTTTTTTTTCATAGAAAACAAGGCCCTTTATAAGAAACATTTTTGAAAGGGAGTGTGTGACAGTTCTGTGCCATCCAGACTGTCTTGACAATATTTAATGCACAGTTTATGGTAGTTTAGCGGTGTCTGACTTCATTGCTTATGCATGTTAACAGGCCAGTAATGGTTTTCTAAGTGCCTTATGTCGCTCTTATGTGACTAGACATGGGGGACTCGGATTATAATGTGGAACTCTGTGTGTAAGTGTGCGTGTGTAAGATTTAATGGGGAATATATAAAAACATATATAATCCTTTTCAATTTTGTGGAACTTTCACAAGGATGAGACAGGATGGGGCTGAACTCATACGTTTACGATAGGTTTTATTCTGGCTGGTTCGGGTGTGATAGGTTTTATTCTGACTGGTTCGGGTATGATATGTTTTATTCTGGCTGATTCGGGTATGATAGGTTTTATTCTGACTGGTTTGGGTATGATAGGTTTTATTCTGGCTGGTTCGGGTATGATAGGTTTTATTCTGGCTGGTTCGGGTATGATAGGTTTTATTCTGACTGGTTCGGGTATGATAGGTTTTATTCTGACTGGTTCGGGTATGATAGGTTTTATTCTGACTGGTTCGGGTATGATAGGTTTTATTCTGGCTGGTTCGGGTATGATATGTTTTATTCTGACTGGTTCGGGTATGATAGGTTTTATTCTGACTGGTTTGGGTATGATATGTTTTATTCTGGCTGGTTCGGGTATGATATGTTTTATTCTGACTGGTTCGGGTATAATAGGTTTTATTCTGACTGGTTCGGGTATGATAGGTTTTATTCTGACTGGTTCGGGTATGATAGGTTTTATTCTGACTGGTTCTGTTATGATATGTTTTATTCTGACTGGTTCGGGTATGATATGTTTTATTCTGACTGGTTCGGGTATGATATGTTTCATTCTGACTGGTTCGGGAATGATATGTTTTATTCTGGCTGGTTCGGGTATGATATGTTTTATTCTGACTGGTTCGGGTATGATATGTTTTATTCTGACTGGTTCGGGAATGATATGTTTTATTCTGACTGGTTCGGGTATGATAGGTTTTATTCTGACTGGTTCGGGTATGATATGTTTTATTCTGACTGGTTCGGGTATGATAGGTTTTATTCTGGCTGGTTCGGGTATGATATGTTTTATTCTGACTGGTTCGGGTATGATATGTTTTATTCTGGCTGGTTCGGGTATGATAGGTTTTATTCTGGCTGGTTCGGGTATGATATGTTTTATTCTGGCTGGTTCGGGTATGATATGTTTTATTCTGACTGGTTCGGGTATGATATGTTTTATTCTGGCTGATTCGGGTATGATAGGTTTTATTCTGACTGGTTCTGTTATGATATGTTTTATTCTGGCTGGTTCGGGTATGATATGTTTTATTCTGGCTGGATCGGGTATGATATGTTTTATTCTGACTGGTTCGGGTATGATATGTTTTATTCTGGCTGGTTCGGCTATGATATGTTTTATTCTGACTGGTTCGGGTATGATATGTTTTATTCTGACTGGTTCGGGTATGATACCCTAAACAACCCCAAGGGATACTTGCAGAACCCTAAACAACCATTACAACCTCTACACAAAGATCGCAAATTCAAAAACGTCTGTTTTATAATATGCTACATGCTTATATTGTGCATAAATGTTAGAATCTCCCCTTTCTAACAACTATTTAAAATAGCTAAAACACAGACCGTTCGATTAGCAATTGAAATGACTACTAATGGCGCCGATGACGTCATCTTTGTTGCAAACATAATACACGATAATATTGTACTTACATCAGCCAAAGTCGATCGTATTTATTTTCCTATAGTGCCAGGGATATTATTAGCATTGTTTATGACCCATAGTAATCCATAATAATCCATATTTCAGTCGAGACTAGACGTTTACAACTTTTAAAACAAAAAAGGCAGCTTCCGTGAAGAACTTACTTCCATATCGAAGGTAAAGACAGAGTCTGAGATATACATTTTCAAAGTCACTGAAACATAAAAAACAAAAAAACGGATGTTGTTTTTTGTTTTAGCTCACGCCAGATATTGTGTGTTACATTATCCTTAATTCATTGAACATTTCCACAAAATTCAGACTGTTTTCTTTGAAATGCCCTTTACCAAATATTCCTACATGGTTCTGTTTCAGAGCAATATCCATTGAGATTGGGGTGGGTAATTTTAGGCGGAAATTGAGGTCTGGGGCCCTGTTAAGAAGTGGTTTTAAACATAGTGTTCAGTGTCGTAAAAAATATGTTTTTTGACCCAAACATTTGTCAGATCTTTCAAGAAGATCTATTTATTCATAGTCAGAAAGCTGGAGAAAAACGGTCAGGTAAGGAACGACTTAAAGAAGTAAAGGCATCGACCGAGGACGAATGAGCAAAGATAGTGAAAATAAAAAAATTGGATGGCTACCCAATTAGTTGGAGTTCCACCGGGTGTGGAGGTGTGCAGTCTTTTTTTAGTCTTAAGCCCCCACTAGCAGCCGTGGCTAAATCGATAATGTGGAACACATTGTGTTCCTGTGGGCCTGGAGGGAATAGCTATGGTTGCTCTACCAAATCACATGTAGCTGGGAGGGATCCAGGGGGTCTCTATCACAAAGGCATACTGTCTCTACTTAAATGGTTTGGGGCAAAAGATGATATTGCAGAAGTTAAGTTATATTTAGGTACAGTCAGTTCTCACATAACTTACAGCTCAATTCCACACAATTCCTCCACTCCAAACATGCTCCATCCGCCACTTACCTCAGAAATACTGCACTTCTCCTTCACTTTTATTTCTTTCCTATTGTCCACCACTCCTAGTCCAATAGATGTAAACAACGATCAATCCATCCTCCTCCTATTATCCCCCCATCCCTTCATTTAATCGGAGGGACTTGGTAATCTGACAGAGAACAGAGAGCGAGCGAGAGATAGAGCAGAGGGTGAGAGATAAGCACAGATGCACCAATGACTGCTACTAGAGCACACATACACACTCTCTTGCTCCCCATTTGCACTACTTCTGTTTCTAGCTCCCTTTTTATGTATGAGAGACCTTCCTTCCAGATCTATGTTGGCTAAGGAACAAACAACTGAGCTTGGGAAGTTTGTGAAAAAGAAGATACAGGACCAAGTGTTTTCTGTTTTCTATTGTATGTAAATTAGTAAGACCACAACATCACATTTTCCATGGACCAAGGATGTCAGGAACAAGATTATGTAGACCTACACAAAGCTGTAATGGGCTACACAAGACCATCGCCAAGCAGCTTGGTGAGAGGGTGAAAACAGTTTGTGCCATTATTCATAGATTGAAGAAACACAAACAACTGTTAAACTCCTTCGGTCTGGGGCTCCATGCAAGATCTCACCCTGTGGAGTTTCAATGACCATGAGAACGGTGAGGAATCAGCCCAGAACTACACAGGAGGATCTTTTGGTTAATGATTCAGTGACAATACTTTTTTGCCGGTCTCGGTGTTCTTTAGAGTTTTGGATTGAAATTACGAATCTGTGTGTTTTACTTCAGCATTCTCTACTGACAGGTGCCTAATTTTATATTCCATAAT